GTGCTCGAACGGGCCCGGAGGAGAGGCGAGCGGCCGGTACGATAATCAGCGAGCTAAAACCGATTTAGCGCCACGGCGCTAAGTGTTTTGTCGCCTCGCGAACCGGTGCTAACTAATGCGCTCCGTAAAGGACGCGGATCCGTCTCGGACGCCTCCTCTCTCTCTCCCTCCCTCTCTCTCTCTCTCTCTCTCTCTCGCTCTCTCTCGCCTCGAATATTCGTGGGCTCGCCGACGCGTTTTCCACGAGCTGGAAACCGACAGCCGAGGGATTGCCACACACGTCGCGCGGTCGATCGGTTCGTGTCGCGATTTCTTTCTTTCTCGTCCCTGCGAAGCTTCCAGCGGAATCGAGGCTTTCGTCTTCGAGAATGTGTTCCTAACGGTCCCTGCCTCCTGGCCGATTCGAGGAATCGCGCGAAACTCAATTGACACGGTGCGCGTCGTCGAGGTGGGGGGGAAGAAGGCAGGCCTCTCCGGGTGAAGTTCGGCGAGGCAATTTCTGCCGATTTATCCGTGGCACTCCAGCAGCGAAAACGGTGGCCGGCTCGTCGACACCCTCGCCGCAGGAAACAACAATACGCGGGCCATGAGCGCCGATTATGGGGGAAGCGTGTCTTCCGGGCTGAAAAGGGAAACCTGAATTTTTCTCGCTTCGAAGCGAGACGCGTCGTGGCAGAGGACTCGTCGGAGTCCACGGCAGGAAGGAAATTGTCCATGACTAAACAGTCCCCCGGAGTCCAGTGTCAGCTAGAACCCGTAGCCTTTTCGGTCGTTCGTTCGTTCGTTCGTTCGTTCGTTCGACTCTTTTTCACCTTTTCACCGTCTTGACGCGTCGCCATTGTCCGGGTGTTCACGGGTCGCATACCGATACGCGTTCCCAATTTACGACGGCGCTAACACGCCCCTCGGTTTTCGGGAAACCATCGGCGTGTTACCGTTCGCCGTCCCGATCGGCTTTAAATAGCCGTCCGTCCGTTCCGTAGCGTCTTGATACTTTTCCCGGGGACTGTACCCGACGATGCACCGTGGAGATGTGCGGCCGGTATTCCCCCACAAAGGATTGACAATAGCAAACAGTTTAATGTCCCGTGCGTTTATTGTATCTCGGCTACCGTGGCTTTAACTTCCATCGGGAGAATCGGAGAAAGGGTGAAAGGAGAAGAGGAGAGGCCGAGAGAGAGAGAGAGAGAGAGAAGAAGAGGAGAGCGGAATGCCGGGGACAGATCTGTTATTCTGTTAGACTCTGGCCGGTCGCCGGTGACATTTGAATGCTCGCTCGATTTCACGAGTCGCCGAAGGGAACGCCGCGGAGCAAGAGGAACACCGGGAGGGAGAGAAAACGAGAACTTCCATATCTTTTGCGTTCTGCGTTCTGCGTTTCAACGTGGTCCGTGCACACAGGAGAGAGCCCCCTCGCCCTCCCCCCGGCTCCGCTACGATCCGCTCTACCGCCGCCTCGTATCTCCTCGAGAGGTCTGGCCTCCGCTCGAATCGCGTTTTCCCGGCGAATTCCCCGCGACTCGGTCTAGATGCGCCCCGTGTCGTGATGCCCGAAGAAAAGAGGAACGAAGAGAAACGGAACGGACGGATAGAGAGAGGATCCGCCGTAATTACCGTGGTATCTTCGAGAGTCCGGGCTGCTTCGGCTGGCAAAGAGCACGCGGGACGACGGGTGTCGACCGACCGGAGACAGGGAAAGGGGAGAGGAAGAGGGAGAAAGAGAGCCGGGAGACCGAGGAGAAATTCCAGCGAGAGAAGAGAATCCAGCGGTGATACCGCGCCGCTCAAAAATCTCGCGGAATCTCGAGAAAAGGCGAGTGGCCGTTGCCGCAATTGGTCATTGGGCGATTTTTGCCGGCATTCATGCGTCCGTTCTCGCTGTATTTATTGGAGAGGTTTCTCTCGTACTATCTGCTATACACGGGGGTTAACTAAACGCATATCTCCCTCTCTCTCACTCCTTCTCTCTCTCTCTCTCTCTCTCTCTCTCTCTCTCTCTCTCTCTCCTACTGCCCGCTATCCTCGCGTTCCATATTCTTCTCTTTATTTACGAACGCAGCCCGCAATTTATGCCCTCGGTTCCGCGCTCTCCGGTCCTCCTTCCCCCCGACGATCCTTTCGGACCAACGGATCTATTCGCAATTAGAGCAGATCGGGTAACACGGGGTCCAGTCTTCGATACAATTCGATTCGATTCGATTCGATTCAATTCGATTTGATTCGTCTCGTCTCGTCTCGAAAAGGGTCGACGCGAAACGGCCGCGAGCCGATTTACGGACGCCGGCCGATCGATGCACCGGTCGACCGAGCGCGATCTATTGCGCACGAATCGGCGGATCCACCGCGATAAATCGCGAGCCGGCCAAACAAATCACTCGACAAGACCGATCGATGGTATCTGGCCGCGTCGATCGGCCGGCCCGGCGACATAATTCCTACAATGGCGGCACGATGCACCTCGTCGTCGCAAATTACACGCTTACATAATCCCACGGACCGATTAATCACCGCGCGATTTACGACGGAGTGCTCTCGAGGCTGCGCGCACACCAGGGCCCACGAACTCGCTCGCTCGCTCGCTCGCTCGTCGGCGATCTCCTCGGCTCGTCGCGCGAAAATTCCATAAATCAACGCGCGTCCAATGTCTCCCCGCGATTCCGCAATTTTCTAAGGCGATATCGGCCTAGAAGACGCGCGCACCTGTGAAACGTGCGCCGTTTAAGGCGGGACGGTATTTCCTACGGCGACCGAAAGTTCGGTGGGCGAATCGAGCAAGAAAGATCGCGCGGATCGGCGAACGGAAGCGCGATCAACGCTCGTTCCCTCTCGGGAGACGGCGCGACGACGCGCGAGCCTCGGACGTCGCGTTGCGCGTCGGTTCGCGAGTAAACGCGAAAATCAGGGGCGACGCAAGAATGGAAGAAGCGGAGAGGAACGGAGAGGAGGAAGAAGAAGAAGAAGGAGAAGAAGAACACTCGCAATTAAACACGGCGTAACTCTCGCTCCGAGGATAATGCCCCGGAATGCTGATAATTGGCTGAGCCGTCGAGGCGACCCGAGACGATGGCCGCGGTCCGTGCACCTGGCAGCCCGGCACTGCAAGATCATCGGCTCGCGATCCCTCGTGTCTAATTGATTCGAAGTGATTTATATTACCTGCTGCCTCTCTCCACCTCGAACATTCCCCGACCCCTCGACCACGCTCTTTTACCTTTTCTTCGCTGCGAATGCAACCGCCGAGCCGCGCCGCGCCGCGCCGCGCCTCGCCGCATCGCATCGCATCGCTTCGGTACCGAGAGGACTCTTTGCACAGGAGGACGGCGTACCGATCGCGAGACGAGTTTCAACGCGTCTGATGGCCGGCACCGAATCGGCGTCGAATAACCGTCGCGATACTCGTCGAATCGGCATCGCGCGAGGAAACAAACACACGGTCCGCTCCTCCTTTCTTCTCCCGCGGCCGGAAAGACGAACGGAGGCTCTTCTGCTAATGATCGATCGGACTCGCGATCGCCTTGTCTCATATTCACGGGGCCGAACGCCCGGGGAGATCGGACGATTTCGTCGCGTCGAAAGATCGATGGAGAAGTCGCGCGGGAACGAGGGGAACGCGATCGCGATCGCGATCGGAAAGGGGGAACGTGAAGGCGAGGGACGCGGCGAGCAGGCCCGGCGAACACAAACTCGGAGAAACGGCAGAAACAGCGGCGGGCAAACGGAGGCTTTCGCTCTCGAACCTCGATATCAGATCGCTCGTATAAAACTATCGTATCGTTTAAATACGCACTGAAAGGTGAGGCGATGCATCGGAAGATACGCGGGCGGTGGCAGGCTGCTTCTCTCTCGGCCTGCGTCTCCTCGTTCCGTCTGTACGTTCGTTCGTTCGTTGGTTCGTTCGTTGGTTCGTTCGTTGGTTCGTTCGTCCGTCCGTCCGGCCGGCCGTCCGTCGGGCCGTGCGTCGATCCGCGCCGAAGATACCCGCCTGGAATCCATGGGAACCACCGAAGAACCAGACTTAACGCGTACGTGTAACCCCTACCCGAGTTCTCGCGCCCGTCCCCCCCGCCCTCCCCCTCCGGTTTCGGCGCTCCTCTTCGGTCAGGCTGCTTCCAAGATTTTTTCCGTCGCGTTTCCACCGCGCGATGTCGCCCGAGATTCCGCGTCGCGTGCTTTGATCCGCGACATTAGTATGCCCGACTGGTTTCCGCCGGAGCGTTTTCGAAACGGATAATTGCTTCGCGGCTCGCCGCGTTTCGCCGCGCCTCGTTCGGCCGGCACTCGCCTCTCTCGGCGAGTCGGCGCGGAAACGCTTCGCTTCGCTTCGTTTCGATTCGATCGCTCCCCCGAGACCGGCAGATCTGCTCGCGATACTCGAAGCCGGGTGCGGCGGGTCTGCGGCGCGGCCTCCCTCCGTTTCCCGTAATTGGCCCCGCATTCCGCGTTACGATTATAAGTTAATCCGGGCCCCGCAAGATTCTATCTGTCGCGAGAGCGAGGCGAGCGACGCGAACTCGAGCGAATCTGCGACGCGGGGCGGGACAGAAAACCTCTCGAAACGAGCAGCGAGCGAGCGAGCAAGAGAGAGAGAGAGAGAGAGACGAGTCCGAGAGTCCTGGACACGCGGAAGTGGAAAAAAAGGTTTCGAGAGGATTTGCAAAACCCGGATGCCCGGGCAGGTGAGAGACAATGGGTGTCGGAGATAGAGAGGGGGGGAGGGACATGGAGCCGCTGCACGGATGCGGTAGTAATCTGCCGTTTTGAAAAGGGGTGGAACTCCGCCGTGTTTTGTCCGCCTAATGATGGAGTGGAGACGTGACAGGTGAAACCGAATACACACGCCACCGAAACCCGTCGCCGCGGTCCTCTCGGCTCTCCTCTCGGCAATCGGCTCCCGCCCCGTACGAGACCTTCCTCCTCCTGGACGACGTCCGGATTGTCCCCTTGGTCCGATTCGTTGCGTTATCTTCACGGTTCGACTCTCTCTCTTTCTCTGTTTCCAGATACCAGGGAGACAGGCTTCGTGAACGCCATCACCGCGGCCGGCGTCACCTACGCCGTCACCAGGGCCTGCACCATGGGCCACCTCGTCGAGTGCTCCTGCGACAAGATGACGTCGAAAGGTAAGACTCCTGCACTCGAATGTACCCGCGAGAAGTATTACATTAAATTGACATTGGTATACAAAAAAACATTAATACGGGAACACTGGAACACCCCCTTTTTGATACTGGAATACCCCCTTTGTAGAACGGGTAGCGAGAGTATACGATAGTAGATAGTATTGTTGCGAATTACTCCGTTTCTCTCGCGTCGCGGCATTTTATTTACAATATATATAAACTACAACACAACTCGATACAATTACAATTCAGATCTTTCAATTTGAAATGTTGCTCGTTCGACAGTCCGATCTCGACTCTTCGATTGTCCGTTGGTAACACTCTTCCGTGGCAACCCCTATCTTCTATTATTTTTGAAGGAGTTGTTCAGAACAGGGCAGTTTCACATTACAGCGACTTGATTTGGACAAGACGCTGTAACAGTATTATGATAGTAGACGTAAGACCATGGCTCGGTGTCTCTACGACTACTACTCTATCTACAACTACTATCATAATACCGATCGTATGCTCTCGCTACCCGTTCTATGAAGCGGATATTCCAGTATCAAAAAGGGGGTGTTCCAGTATTCTCGTATTAATGTTTTTTTGTATACCAATGTCGATTGTTCACGTTACGAATACCATACTCGCTATATTTTTGTTAACTTTAAGAATTCAGTCTTTAAATTCCGTAGGCGTATTTTTGAAACTGCATATTCTTCAAGAAAATGCAAAACAAAGAGATCGATATTTTCATAGGTTCACGCTGGAATACCCCCTTAACATTTTTCAGAACATTTTGTTTTCTGAAATTTTGTATGACTTTTCCTAAAACGTGCAAATAATTAATTTTGTAAAACATTTTTCTCTTTTTTATCGTTTCGATGTAAAACTTTATGGCACTATACGCCTCTACAGGGTGTCCCAAAAATGTCTCGCAATCCGAGAATGGGAGGTTCCTGAGGTAATTTGAAGTAAGTTTGTCCTTGGCGAAAATGCAATCCACGGCTTTGTTTAAGAGTTATTAACGAAAAAGAGTGACCAATGAAAGGTGAGATATGCTGGCGCAAGGCGGCCGAGCCAATGAGCGGAACTAGGCTTCATGCGCTCATTGGCTCGGCTGCCAAGCGCTAGGCGAGCTCGCCTCTTATTGGTCAGTGTTTTTCCTTAATAACTCGTAAACAAAGCGGCAGATTGCATTTTCGCGAAGGAAAAAGTTACTTAGAATGACCTCAACTAACCCATATTTCCGTATTGCGAGACATTTTTAGGACACCCTGTAGAGGCGTATAGTGCCATACAGTTTTACATACCAAGTTTACATGCCGAGATGAGTCGTTTTGACCCCACAGAACGTAGGAAAACTCGCGATTTTACATGTACAGTTTCTTACACCGTTTTCATAAAATTCGAACACATTTTTCGAAAAGCAAGTATAACATTCTCGTACAATCCATGTTCCACAAAATGACCGCAAGGTCTGAAATCCGCTCCCGGTAACGACGCAACAGACCTCGCGAGTCTCTGATCCCTGTGCGCAGGTAACCGCTTCGGCAAATTCATCCCGACCCCGGAGATCCAGAAGAGCCTGCCGACCGAGGGTGACTGGGAGTGGGGCGGGTGCGGGGACAACGTGAAGTTCGGGTTCAAAAAGTCGCGGGAGTTCATGGACGCGCCGTACAGGAAGCGCAGCGACATCAAGACGCTGGTGAAGCTGCACAACAACGACGCCGGTCGTCTGGTAGGCAGCACTCGGCTCGCGGTTCCTCGGGCGAGCGACAAGGCGAAGGTGACAAGTTGAAGGACTCTCTTGGTTTTGGTTGGCAGGCGGTGCGGGACTTCATGAGGACGGAGTGCAAGTGCCACGGGCTCTCGGGCTCGTGCACGGTGCGCACGTGTTGGCGGAAGATGCCGCCGTTCCGCGACGTCGGCAACCGGCTGAAGGAGTCGTTCGACGGCGCGGCCAAGGTGATCCCGAGCAACGACGGGCACAGCTTCATCACGGAGGGGCCGACCATCAAGCCGCCGGATCGGTTCGACCTGATCTACAGCGAGGACTCGCCGGACTTCTGCAAGCTGAACCGGAAGACCGGCTCGCTGGGCACCCAGGGTCGCCGCTGCAACTCGACCAGCCCGGGCGTCGACGGCTGCGAGCTGCTCTGCTGCGGCAGAGGCTACGACACCCGGATCGTCAAGGAGAAGGTGAACTGCGAGTGCAGGTTCCGGTGGTGCTGCGAGGTCACCTGCAACACTTGCCTGGACAAGAAGACGATCAACACCTGCCGTTGATCGGCGCGCCGACAGAGCGCGAGCGACAGAACCGGATCTCCTCATTTAGGATAAAAGCGTCATGTTGTAATATACGCGTAGTCCCGCGCGGATCGAGTCGCGCGTTGGTAGCGGGACGAGCGACACAGTTCGACTCGTCACCCACCGTTCGAAGCTTTCCAGGTATCTCCAGCTGTTTATTTTAAGGCAATTACTCGCGCGCGAGAAGATTCCCGCCTTTTCCGCTTGCGTCCTCCGCTCTCGAAAATATATCGAACCTAAAAAAAAGAAAAAAAACTCCTCCCTCGCGGTTATATTTGTACATAAGACTGAATCGAACGTATCGTTATTATTATACATTGTGCTCCGTCGAATAAAAAGCATGTATCCTCGGCCGACAACATTTCTTCTCGTTCGTTACCCCCGCAATCGCAACCACCCAGCATCCTCGAGACCGAGCGTTCCGATTCCCGCCGTTAGATCGCCGCGGCGAGGCTGATCCACGGATCCAAGGTAAGCGTTCCGCGATCGATTCGCGACAAAAGAAGGAAAGACGAAGAGAGAGGGTCGGGTTGAGACGCGTGTGGTGATAAAGGACGAGGGGAGGGGCAGTCGCCGGAACGTCGAGAAGTTAGGAGGCCTCGTATATTAACGCGTCTTGTAGAACACAGGCTTTTAGCTGTAATTCGACCTTGTACACGGGAGAGGTCGCGCGAGCAATAAACAACCGGTGTCTACATCTCCTATAAAATAGTTTTACGGCGCGAGACCGAGGAGAGGAATTTCGCGTCGTCGTAAAGCCGGAAAGGAGCGCGGAGCGCGCGCGCGTTCACTTCTCGCGTCGTCTCGCTTCAATCCCGGCTCGGTATCGCCGCGTTTCGGCGATAGCGGAAGCCATAAACTGGTCGGCGAGAGAAATCCTTTTCCCTTGGACTCGTGCGCGCGCGCACCGTTTATTGGACGTGAAAATTAGCGTGCTCGGATGGGCCGAGTATTCGGGTCGGGATCGTTTCACCCGACCGACGACCGGTCCTTCTCGATCGTTCGCCGGCGGAATCCGAAAATCACGGCGAGGACCCTAGGGCGAGGGGAAAATTGGGGGACGCGACAAGCAATTATCGCGTCGCGAGATGGTAGGTGGTAGCGCGATGGTGGCTGAGATCGCGGCAGGAAGGAAGGGCGGACGAGCGGGAGGAGAGAAGAAGAAGAAGAAGAAGCGGCTCGGCGGGTCATCCTCCGGATATCGAGGCTCTTCGCGCTCCGAGAAAAGTCCTTCGGTGGGGTTAAGTAAAAAGTTTAGGATCTCGCCTACACCCTCCAATTTAATACGTGACGCGGCAGAGGAGAGAAGAGCGCGCGAGAAGAGGCAGCGTAAAAGGTCTCTTAATAGAGAGGTCGACCTCTGGAGGGTACGAAGGTGGTGAGCTGCAATTAGCCCCACCAGCCATCCGGGCCGGGCCGTCCGGACTCGATTAGCCCATGGCCAGGAGATTGGTCTGCTTGTAGCCGGCTGGGTGGTCCAACCGGGGTAATTTTCGGCTGCCGTCGACGTTCCCCTTTGAGGGAAAAATGGCCCCCCTCCGAAATTGGTCCCGGACGTTACCGCGTACCGGTGCGGCGCGGTGCGGCGCGGCTCGTCTCGGCTCTCGGCACTCGGCGTATCGAGTACCACAACTGCTCTCGGGCCTGCATATAGTCTCCGGGCGCCATCTTCGTTCATCCTGCTCCGCCCTCTTCGCTCCTAGGCGAGGGGGGCACAAGCAAAGATCTTCCGGTGGTAATTCAATTTTACCCGGCAGAGACGTTGCGCGCCGGTTATTACGGTCTAATGAAAACATCGCCGCTACGGAACGATGCCCGATTTACCGATTACCGTGTTTGCGCGCTTATTAACCGTATTCTCTCCTCCCTGCTCGAATCGCGAAACCGTGACTCGGAATAAATCCCTCGAGCGCCGAGGGGGGAGGAGGAGGAGGAGAAGCGGCGCGGATCTTCGTGCGACCGGCGCGAAAAAGGTACGAAGCGCGAAGTTCGGGAAGCTCGTAAAGCGGAAGGTGAAACGTGTCACAGGGGGTTGCGCGCCGGACATTCGGAGCGAATGGAGGGCGAAACTCTCCCACGGAGAGAAGGCATCGTTCGGCGCACCGTTCTCGGAACGATTAGACGCGGAACAATGGTGGCCGCGGAACGCACGTGGGTCGTGACGCGCGACAAAACCGCAAAACGCGACCGTGATTAATCGCCGTGCTCGCCTTCGCGGCCGCGCTTTTCTCGTCTTCGTCTTTTCTCCTAGCACGCGTTCCGTTCTGTTCTCTCATTGGCTTCTTCGACTCGGTGCTTCTTCGACCCGACGCAGGACTGCAGGAAGCGATCGCCCTCGGTTTCTGCAAAGCTCGGGGGATCGATGAAATTGCGAATATCCGGAGAATAACGAGAGAACGAAAGAGAACCGAAGAGAAAGAGAGCGACGGAGAGGAGGCGTGGGGAGAAGGGTGGAAACTGCGTCGGACGCATCGGACGGTGCAAGTCGCGAGTGTACGGAGGCAAGACATCGAGGCGGCGCCGGAGGTGGTCGGTCGTTCGAGTCGGCCGCGCTGCTCCGACGCCAATATTAATTAAACGATCCCATAAGCGCCTAACAAACTGGCTGTACGTTAGGCGGTTTATTGGAGTCCCCGAGCAGGACGTTAAAATGTTCCAATCTTAATTAGGTAGGTGTTTACAGGAGGATAATTCCACGGGCCTCGAGCCGGTGCACTATTCACCGTTTGTACCGGACGCGGGCCACCGGCCACGAACGCATTTCCGTTCGTCTCTCTCTCTCTCTCTCTCTCTCTCTCTCTCTCTTCCTCTCTTCCTCTTCTCCTCGTCTCCTGTCCGAGTTCTCCACCAAATATTCCACGAAATGATGTTTACTCCGATGCGGTGGCCGACGTTCTCTCTTCTCCACGGTCCTCGTTCCTCGTCCGTTCCTCGACCGATCCTCCTCGCGCCCGTTGCCCCCGTCGTCGACGTCGCCGTCGCCTCGTCTCTTGGTTCCCTTTCGCGCCCTTACCACCGTCCAACCCGAACCACGAAGGACAGTGTCGCGAGGTAGGTGGAGAAGGTCGTTGAAATCTTTACGGTTCTTCCAGCTTCTTGGAATTTCTTCGACCGCCTCTCTGTCTCTTCCCTCGTTTCGTCTCCCCCCTCACCCTCCAGTCCCGACGGCATACTGGTCTTGCGTAATTAGCTGCGAGCGCGTTCTTTTCTTTCGCTTTTTCCCTTGTTCGCTCTTTTTCTCGAAAAGCGGGGAGCAACAGGGGCGGGACGACTAATTTTCGCTCGGAATGCGCTTCGGATAAGCCTTCGTCCGCTCTCTCGCTCTCGCTCTTTCTTTCTCTCTTTCTATCTATTTTTCTCTCTCGCTCTCTCTCTCTCTTTCTATCTCTTTTTCTCTCTCGCTCTCTCTTTCGCCGTATTCGTTTCTCTCTCTCTCGCAGCCGAGATCGCCGATTATACCTGGCCCGTGAAAAGATTCGCGTCGATCTAATTTTACTCCTCGCCTCGGGTAACACTGACCAGACCAACGGACCGCGAGAACGGTAATTCGCGTCGGTTCGAGAAACATTTAGAAGCGGTTAGCGTTTCCTCGCGGCGCGATCCTCCGTCTCCGGCGCTCGGCTGTCCCGAGCCCCCGAGACCAGATCGGGGAAATCGTCGATCTCCGTGGCCGCCGGTGGTGCGTGCGGCTCGGGCCCCGGACCCTTATCGCGGCCGATCGGGCCTCGGGAACGATTCGATTCGCGGCGACGATTTACGCGAAACGTGGAAAATCGTTTGCGGCGAACAGGCAACGCCGCGTCGCGAGGAAATCGTAATTTCTCTACGGTTGAACGCGAGAGAGCAGGCTCGAGCCGAGCCGAGTCGAGTCGAGCCGAGCCGAGACGGGGCGAGACGAGGCGTAATTATCGAGCGCGCGGTATCGGTGAGTCCCTTTTTTCAAGAATTTTTCTCCACCGGCGAGGAATTCGGCGTTATCGGGGCACGCTTCGACGAAGGAACTCGCTTGTTTCGTTTCGTTTCGTTTCGCTGGCCGCGTCTCGTTTTCGATTTATCGGCGGCTAGAGATACCACCATCCACCGAGATTGTCCACGAGTTGCACGAAAGGCTAGATGTGTCCTCGTTCTCGATTTATCGGAACGAGAGATTGCCGCCCTGCGCCGAGAAAGATCGACCGCAGGCTGCGCGCGAATCCAGAGATGTATCGCATCTGCGATTTATCGCGGCTGGGATTTTTACTTATTTTATTCTTATTTATTCGAGAGCAACAGAAGAAAACCCTATGGAGCAAGCGTTTACGGAGTGGTTCGCGGTTGGATAAAGCGCGAAACGATTTGCCGTTCGGAACGATTAAACGGCGAGGAAATATCGAACGCGCGCGTCACAATGGATACACGCGTCGATGAAGACGCGATTTGTACGAATCCGTTCGCCGTAAAGCGTGCGGCAGTTTCCTTGTCGGGCAAGTATTTTCGATCTAATGGACGCCGACGAGCAACACAAGACGCAGCTTAAACACCATAAAGCCGGTAATTCCGGACAGAAGATTACGCCATTAAGAGAACAAACCTCGTGGGCAAAAACAATAGTATTTGATAAATAAAATACGTTTATTCGACGAACAATTATTACAGACGGTGATCCGGGTATCCTATCGTGATGCGGTTCTCTGAATGTACGACTATTGGGAACTATAGGTAAATACAATTTTATGCGAGAGAGGAACAACAACCTCGACGGAAAGGCACTTTGAGAGAATGATCGAAGCGCGAAATAGGAAAAATGCCACTGCGCGGCATACGTCGGTGAATTCCAACAATCGGGGTTAGAGATACGGTAAAATTCCTCCCCTGATTCGCGCACGGATGGCGCACAAAAATGGACAATTTCGGAAGTGGAGACACGATTATTCGTGCGCCTCGCGGCACGTTTTTATAGTCGTTGACAATCGGTAACTGTAAAAAAGTAATACTGTAAAAATTTGAGGAATCGGAGCCACGATTATTCGAGCCTCGCGGCTCGTTTTTACAGTTACCGATTGTCAACGACTATAAAAACCGATTCCTCCGTCTCTGATTCCTCAAATTCGATGGTCGCCGAACGTGACGTCGCTCGATTTTGAATAGTTTCGGAAGAGGAGACACGATTATTCGAGCCTCGCGGCTCGTTTTTATAGTCGTTGACAATCGGTAATTGTAAAAACGAGCCGCAAGATTATAATCGTGTCAACTCTTCCCAAACTGTCAATTTTTATGCGCAATCTGAGTGCGAATTCGAGAGAAATTACTATACTACCCTCCGCGCCAAGATTGTCCGCAAGCTGCGCAAAACTCGAGATGCGTTTCATTCTCAGTTTAT